AATATCATCATGGCATATCCCTGTGCGCACCATAGCCAGCCACATGTGGGCTGCTAGGTAGCCGGGCTAGCCTTGGTGGCGCTTGGGTGTTTTTTTTACTTTATTTGCGTGCCATTTCTCGAAATTTCATTCCGATTTGTGTGTGACTGGTAGGCGTGTCGTGTACCTATCAAAAATAACCTAACAGACCAATACTAATGTAGACTGGCAACTAAGGGTCGGATCCCAAGAGACTAAGGTTGAGAAATAATTAAATAGACTCAAATTTCTACTAAGCAAGAATCAATTATAATCAATTATGTAAGGAACTAAGTATGAGAAGAATTCGAAAATAAACTAAATAAGATGATTAAATCAAGTACTTAAAACATCCAAGATCTAGTTTTACAATAATTATTATCGATGCAATTGTAATTCTACCCTTAACATACGATTTCAATGGAACGGGGAAAAGTAAACCCTAATAAATACCAAGGATCTCTCTCGAGTATCAATGGCTTCCCTAACATACAATCAATCATATTCTCATGGTATCATGCATATTAGAGACATTAAACACATTACTCTCACTTCCCAATTATCAAACCCAACTACTCTCGTGTTGAGAATCAAACCCTAAATTGATTTACTCAAATCCATTTATACCCAACTCTCGCTGTGATAAAAACAATGGAATAATCGCAATACTATAGTTACGTCTAACCTAGCATTGGCATAATCACAATCAATTTAGCAATTCTATTGTTAAAGTTGTTAAAGAATTTAAAGATTTAATTCATGCATCAATAATAATAGGGCTACACTAGATCTTGAATTAAAGAATCTACTCACACATGGTAAAAAAAAAACAAAAACAATAATAAATAATGAAAACATAATTAAATAACAAAGGATGAAAAATAAATGCCAAATCTTGAATAAAATTGAAAGTAGAAAGCTTGAATCTTGAATCTTGAATTACAAAAACTAAGAAAAATAATAATGGATAACTAGTTCTTAAGGAGAGAATAATAAAAAAAATTAAAATAAGGCTTAATGAATGAATTATCCCTCAAGAAGAACAAACTAAAGAATATATACAAGCTTAAAAAGATAAGAAAAATCGACTAAGATTGGCGCACAAGATTCCCAGGAGGCACGGACATGCCTCTCCATAGGCACAGACGTGCCTCTCCATAGGCACGGACGTGCCTCTATACGTAGCAAAATTGTTGCAGCTTCTGTCTTCCAGGCACGGACGTGCCTGATGCTGGGCACGGACGTGCCTGCTTCTTTCTCTAGGCATGGGCGTGTCTCCTTGTTAAGCACGGGCATGCCTGCTTCTTTACCTAGGCACGGACGTGCCTCTTCTGCTAGACACGGGCGTGCCTAGGGTCTTCCTTTGGCGCAGGTTCAAACACACAGGCACGGACGTGCCTAATGGGGAGGCACGACCGTGGCAACCTCTAAAACGCCATTTTCTTGACTTTTCTTCAATCTCCAAACTCCATGGGCTTTGACTTACTTCGTGGATCTATAATTCATCCAAATTAGCTCCATTATTCCTGAAAATCATCAAAAACAACAAAACTACCCATAAAAGCATCGGATTATCCAAACTAGAGCAAAATACGCCAAAACGGACTCAAATACTCAACTAAACTAGCAAAACTAACTAAGAACAAGTCAAATAATTTACACAAAACACAACATATCAAACTCCCCCAAGCTAAACTAATGCTTGTCCTCAAGCATTTAACCATGAATCACAAGGGAAGAGAATGATAACTCCTCAAACAATCACAATGTGCCATTAAGTTCAAAACCACGATAAAAACAAAATCAAGAGTCAACATGCACAAAAACCACCATTCATCTCATATACTTGGCCTTGATAACCAATCTTACCACACATCTCCCCATACCTACTCACACAAACATGGATAGTTCTCACTTTAGTTGTGAAAAATAAAAACAATAACGCTCATGTGTTTTCGGGGTGAAAAATGAAGCCACTTAACCTAAGCATAGCATGCATATCAACTTCACACAACCGGCCTCTTTAGGCTTGCAATGTGACTTTCTCCACTTTTAGTGATTGATGCAAACACGAAAATCATGAAATCCATATTAGGTAAGCTCGGTAAATAAGGGTTAGACGACGTATTTTGGGAATGTGGTGCTCAAAATAAAACAAATCCTAATCCCACTACATATTCAAATGTCGGGTTCAATCCAACCTTATTTCCTCCAACTCCATACAATTATAAACATAGCTCTTTATTCTTTCCTTCCTTTTTTTCTTTTTTTTTTTTTCACACAAACAGGAAGGGATTAAATAAAAATAAAATGGAAGACTTCTCTATTTTTCAAAGGCCTTTAAGACCATATTTCTTTTCTTCCTTTTTTTTTCTTTTTCTTTTCTCATAATCTCCCTTCTTTTCTCTTTGTTTTTTTTTATTACTTTTCTCTTTTTTTTTTTCTCTTTTTTTTTTCATTTCACATTTTTTTTTTCATCATTCACACTCATAGGGATTAACAAATATAAAACACCTTCAAAATAAACCTAGAAAAATAGCTCTAAAGCTTTAAATGTAGGGTATCAAGAAGGGGTTAATATGGCTCAAATTGGTTCAACCTACGGGTGAATATAAAATAAAAATAAATAAAAACAAAAAGAAAAAAAAAACTATGAAGGCCTAAAATGTGGAGGCTCTAATTTCTACAAGGAAATTTCAATCATCTTTTCGCGACATGCATCATAAAGTCTCAAATAGTTTAAAAGCAAGACCAAGAATTCGATTATATGAAGGACAATCTAATCACACAAGAAGAAACATGACTGAGGTAGAGTGAAATCAGTCAAATAAGGCTCAAGACTCTCACCGGGTACACAAACTATTCACATAAGTAGAGCGGGGAGACCATCCTGGCCACAACCTAGCTCAAATCCAAGCACATCAATGAATGGGTTTTCAAAAACTCTTTTTTTTTTTTTCAAAAAGCACACATATGTGATTATAATCATAGAAGCATAGTCATGCAATGACATATTATTCGACACTAGAAAGAAATAAACTACCCAAAAACTGAAATAAATCTAATATATACATGGTGAAAAGCATATCCTCCCCCAAGCTAAATCATACATTGTCCTCAATGTACGCATATAACAGTGTTAAATGAACAAGGGGAAGGGGAAACAACCTACTGATCAGGAGGGGTGGGGGGGAAAACCATACCTCGGGACGGTGCTAGGACCGCCCTGAAAGTGTTGTCGCATCATGCCCCCGATGTCATAGAACTCGGCCTAGAAGGCGGCCTGGGACGTTCGTGCCTTATTATTGGGGGAGGCACAAAATTGCACTCCTTGACTCTCTGCCCCATCTGCAGATTTTTTATATATATATATATATATATATATATATATTTTTTTTTTTGAAAAATAAAAGTAATATAAAAAATAAATAAATAAATAAAAAAAAAGAAAAAAGAAAAAAAAACTTGAATACGAAAAACCTGAGGCACGGACGTGCCTAGTGAGGAGGTACGGACGTGCCTCTCTAAAAATTCAACCCCCAAACTTTCTGCCTCAGAGGCACGGACGTGCCTCTGCAGAAATTGATTTTTCTCTTTTGTCCTTCCTTTTGGCGCTTTTCCTCCTTGTTTCTTCTTCTTTTTGCTTACTTTTCACCTATATAAAAATACCACAACCAAATAAAAAACTAGACACAAGAATCAAACAAAAAAAAACAAGAAAAATAATGAAATTAAAGAGGAAAAAAAAAATAACGAAATAAGAGTAAGAACTCGAGAATGGGTTGCCTCCCATTTAGCGCTTGTTTAAAAAGGTCTTTAGCTGGACCTCCCTTGTTGGCTCAACCGGGATCATTACACGGAGAAGGAGGACTGCGATGTTGTTCATGAATTCCTCCAAGCGACTCCTTCATCGGCTTATTCACTTGCCTTATAACCGAATTCACCTTCACATAGCCAAACATGCCATCGGGTGGAACTTTGTCCTTCCTTTTCACGAAATTCCTGTCAAACACATACCTATCAAACGGGGGGTTAGTAGCATCGATTCTCGAACAGGTACCACCATCGAACTTAGAGTTATGCCCATCAAGCACGGCTTTTGACAACCGTTGCGAGAAGGGCATCGGTTCATCATTGGCCGGTGGAGCTACATATTTGGAGCCTTGAACATCCTTGCTCTTTACGTCCTTTCTAGGCTCCTTGATGCACACCTTCTCAAAAATTTTCTTCGGAAATAGTCCATCTCTTCTCAGGAAGATAGCATTGCATTGTTCTTTCTAAACCTTCGCTTGATCTTGAAGAGTCGATAGGCGGTTCACCTGTTGTGAAAGTTGGCTTATCTGATAAATAGTGTCTCCCGTAGAGGGAGCACCCATGACATTCAAAAGTGAGTATTCCAACTTTTCATCACCTACTTCAAAAGTGATCTTACCTTTCTTCATGTCTATGATTGCACCTGCAGTAGCTAGGAAAGCTCTACCAAGTATGATCGGAACATTCACATCTTCTTCCATCTCCATCACAACAAAATCACATGGAATGAAAAACTTACCTACTCTAAGGGGTACATCCTCAAGTACACCTAAAGGAAACTTCACTGACCTGTCTGCAAGTTGTAGAGATATTCGTGTGGGTTTAAGCTCACCCAGTTGTAGCTTCTTGCATATGGACAGCGGCATAAGACTCACACTTGCACCTAGATTGCATAGTGCCCTATTGATCTCAATATCTCCAAGCTTCACTGGAATTGAATAGCTACCTGGATCTCCTAATTTCATAGGGAGAGTGTTTTGCAAAATAGCACTATACTCTGCATTCAAAGCAACAGTAGTATTCTCTTCTAATTTCCTCTTGTTAGATAGCATATCTTTTAAAAATTTTGCATAAGAAGGCATCTCAGATATGGCATCTAGGAATGGAATATTAATATGAAGCTTTTTAAGAATATCGAGGAACTTACTGAACTTTTTCTCAAGTTTAGCTTATGCTAACCTTTGAGGAAAAGGAATCTTGGGCACATATGGAGCAAGTGGCTTTGGTGGTGGTTCCTTTGATGCCTCCTCAACCCTAGCATCTTCTACTTCCTTCTCACTTGCCTCTGCTTCTTCATTGACCTCCCTTGATGGCTCCATGGTAGGAGGATCGTCCAACTGCCTTCCACTCCTCAGGGCTACAAAATTCATTTGGGCTCTTTGAGGTTGTTCTGTCTGGCCCGGGAAGGTTCCTGGAGTCTTTAAAGCTTGGTTAAATTGGTTGGCCAATTGGCTTATCTGATCCTCCATAAGTTTACTTTGGGCCTGCAACTGTTGGATAGAGCTATTTTGATGTTGGACGGCACTGTTTGTTGTGGTTATAAAGCTCTCTAAGGTCACCTCTAGGCTTGATTTCTGAGGTTGTGGTTGCATAGGTTGTTGGGCATTGGGTGGTTTCTGTTGGAAGCCTGGTGGTGGTTGGTTGTAGGTATTGGGTTGAGGTGGTGGTGGAGGGTTTTGTTGCGCTTGGGAGTTTTTGTAGGAAAAGTTGGGATGGTGTTTCCATCCTTCATTGTAGGTGTTGGAATAAGGGTCATAAGGCCTCTTTGGGTTAGAGGAGTAGAAAGCATTGGCTTGCTCGATTGACATTTCTTCCGTATTTTGCGAAATCTGTGGGAAATCTGGAGCAACATGACCCTGCACATTACATAACTGACACAACTCCTATGGGGTGTTAGAAGTTCCTGCTTGGAACTTATCAAACCTACTTGTTAGTGCCTGTACAGAACTAGTTAGCATAGTTAAAGCATCAACATCAAGTTTACCTCCCTTTTTCACAGTGTTTCGGCCTCCAGGATGATAGTTATCATTAGCCGCCATCTTCTCTATGAGCTCTCTAGCTTCAGTGGGGTTCTTTGTCAAGAGAGAACCTCCTGACGCAGCATCTATGTAAATACGGAACTCATGAGTCATACCATTGTAAAAGGTCTGCATCAAAATCCAATCTGGAATGCCATGGTGAGGGCATTGTCTCTGCAATCTTTTAAATCTCCTCCAAGCCTTGTAGAGAGACTCATCATCTGACTGCTTAAAAGTTTGTAGCTCATTCCTCAATCTTGCAGTCTTCTCATTTCCTAAAAACTTCACTAGGAAGGCCTTCACTAACTTGTCCCAAGTATCGAACGAGCCAATGCCTTCATCTCTTAACCACTCATTTGCCCTGTCTCGAAGTGAGAAGGGGAAAAGGCGTAGTCTGATTGCATCATCTGTAACACCGTTCAACTTCATAGTATCACATTTCTCCAAAAAGCTATCTATATGACTTACGGGGCAATCATGTGGTAGCCCTGCGAATGAATCAAATTTTACTCACAAGTATTTGAACTTGATGGATTTTAATCAACCAAACATGAAAAAATCCAAACTTTGTTCAATATGGAATTTAGGGTTAGGGTTCCAATCATTTAAACCTTTAAAGATTATAACTTTAACATTATAGGTTAGACCATTGTGGTGCTAAGGCTACGCTCGTACTTGTCGCTTGTGATTTTGTGATGCTCGGCCTCGACGCCCTAGGCTCGATATCCGACGTCTGTATTCGTAAAACTCTGTCGACTCATTAAACCCTTTTGGATTAATTCGCCGTCTCGGATTAGTGATTCGATTGGGTTCGACCCGAAGGGTTCAGTTAAGATTAAGCTGTAATATCAATTGTACCTTGATATTACTGATCGAAAGAGGCCTCCACCTAGGCATTCCGATCACTTGATCTTACTGAAGAATTAACTTTGTAATAATTCTGAACCCTCTATCGGAAGAATACATTGTTGGAAGGACACCATTCCTTTCAATAAGCATATGATTTCTAAAATCCATCTGAGCACCGGCATGCATTTTCACAGTCTCGCTCTTCGAGAGGCCTTGTAAACAACAAAGACATGTTCCCTTTTGTTAAAGGGGGTCGTTCCTAGTCTCGTACTGTAAGCTCCCTTTACTAAGAGGACCTAGTCGCCCGAGTGTCTCCTTTATAATCCCCTTTTACTGCAGACGTTTGACAACATCAAAGCGACTAGTACTCAAATAAGAGAACTTACAATACTCATGGTCGAGGAAAGAGGTATAATGAGAAATGTACTTATGATGGTTTTAAATCTCTTAAAGTACTTTCATAGGTCGATCCGGTACAGTTCCAAACCAATACCTGTGCAAATGATTTTTGATAATCATGTCCTCGCAGCACATGAAACGGTGCTATAAATCATACTACACAATATCTCAAATGGTCATCAATCGTCCATCATTTAAATGACCTTGATTGGGGATAATTTTCGATTGAAATAGTCAATGTTCACTTAACAGGTGTTTCTTTATCTGAGACATTGTCTTGAATATTCTTCAAATCAAATGGACTCATTATTTAATTCTAAACCATAATCAAATAGAAATGGAGTAATAATAATTTTGCAGGAAATTAAATTACTCCAAAACCGAATGGTTTTAACATATAGTTTTACATTAAGACATCTAGTTTAACTAAAACACATATTCAGGGAAATCAAAGCCAATCTCCAACATGCTTGATTCCCATTGCCTCAACGTGTTTGTTGTGCTTCACTTGAGGCAAAGGTTTAGTCAATGGATTGGCTACATTGTTGTTTAGGGTAAAAATACCCTAAGACACGTGGCCCAATAAAGGCCTGCCACGTGTCAAGCTTGCAACGGTCAACAAAGGCCCAATCCCTTTGCGACAAGTGTCATTGTACCCTAATTGAGGTACAGTTCTCCCTACTATAAATAGTAAGGGCAGACCTCATTAATGGGGATCGAATCATTTTCCCACAAACCAACAAAACACAAATCCCCTTGCAAACACTCTCAAATCGAGAAGCATTTATTGTCTTATTTCCACATTTAGAAAGAGACTAACTTAATCCTCGAAGGCGGAACACCCCAGCCCCAACCGGAGTATTCCGTTATTTGTGCAGGTACAGGCGAAGGAAGGAGCATTCTAGGAAATTGTAACTCTCCCGTAGGACACATAAAAAACCCCCAAACATCTGGCGCCGTCTGTGGGGAGAGTACTTTCTAGATGACTTCAGAACCGGTACAACCGGGTAAAAGTAGTCAACTTGCTGGTGAGGTTGAGGTCGACTCGGACCAAGACACAGCCGACAATCATGAGATTGAAACCTACACAGCAGCCGACGGTTCCTTTAGAACCAAGCACACTCGTTCCAAAGACAAGAGGGAACGAGCAGAGCAGCTGGCAGGCCCAAATCATCCTACTAGGGGACCGCTTGGGTTGACCCTGCTTCGGAAGGAGCCACCCCAGTCTCCAGAGATGAACTCATGAACATGATGATGAGCTTCAAAGGAGAGATCAAAGGCCTTCTGGATAATACAGCCGGCCCCCGTAAGGGTCAGGCGGAAGAAAGGCGTCTGGGAAAAAAGACAGCCAAAACAGTCAAGGGTAGAGCATCTACCCCGCATCCGAAGTCAAAAATTCCGGCCAGGCCCTTTGATTTCTCAAAGATACACACTCCCATAGATGGAGTCAGAAAACCCGTCCGGCACATTCAGCCGGATGGAACCAAGAAAGTCTATTCTGATGCCTAGACGCTCATTCAAGATAAAAAGACTCAGCGATCCGAGTCGGCATCAACATCGACCTTTCGAGACAGCTTCAATGCCACATCAGGGAGGCACTCGAGAACAAACGATGACAGCCGGACGAGCGAGGTTTCCGCTCGATCCGGCCCTCATATGATCCAACCGGCATTGCATGGAACACCATACACGCCTTTTGGATCTCCCTATGCCCAGCCGGGTCTTTTCGGGGGACATCAGCAGCCGCCTCTCCAGCCTATGGACTGGCAGCTCCGGCTGCTCAACCTTGGGGAACAGCCAACGTCGTTTTCCAGGGAAATCACCGAGATGACCCAGCCGACTAAGATCAAAAACGTGTTGGTAGGTGCCTATGACGGTACCACCAACCCGGAAGATCACCTCATGGCATACACCAACCTGATGTATTTGCAGGGTTTGGATGACGCCTCATGGTGCAGGTGCTTCCCGGCAACGTTGAAAGGGATTGCTCAACGTTGGTTTGATAACCTCCCAGCCGGATGCATCAATAATTTCAGGACCTTGGCCTACTGGTTTACGTCCAACTTTTCTATGAACATCCCTGCCAAGAAAACAAGCCTTGATCTAGGGGAAATCCAGCAGGGAGATAAAGAGGGGCTCCGGTCATATATCAGGTGGTTTAACCTGATGAGGATCCAAATCCATGGATTGTCTGATGACGTTGCCTACACCGATTTCTTTAAAGGCTTAAAAGACGGATCAACTTTTAAGTTTGACTTGGTTAGGAAGAGGGTCTCTACTCTTCACGAGGCGCTCATGAAGGCGGAGGCCTACATTCAGGCAATGGAATTGTGTGCTTTGAAACTTCCAACGGATTACAAAAGATCCGATAAAAAAGAGAATCGGCCTACCCAGTCGGCCAAAAAGGAAGACAAGAGAAAGGGGGTATGGGCGGCAGACTCATCCGGACAACCTTTCCAGAAAAGAAAGAGGTCGGATCCGTATGTGCCCAAGTACGAGTTCAACAAGGATTGTGCCTCCATTCTCAACGAAGTAAAGGACTGGTTGAATCTTGAAAAACCGGCTCCTATGAAGAGTCCCTTAAGCGCCCGGGATAAGAGCAAATATTACCTTTTTCATGAGGAAATTGGCCATGACACTGAAGGTTGCTTTAGCCTCAGGCGGCTCTTTGATCGGCTGGCTGATGAGGGGGCTCTCAAATCATACCTTTCCAAGTCAAAGGATGCTCCCAAACAAGTAAAAGGACCACCCCCAAAGAAGCCGTCTACTCAATCGAATACGGATGAGGAAACCATCCTGACCATAGACGGTGGATTTGCGGGAGGTGGGCCTACCATCCGGGGCACAAAAGATAACATTCGGAAACTGTTCAACTCAGTAGATGAGGGCCAGTCGTCTGAATATTCATTTCCGGAAGTTAACATCTCCGAGAAGGATAGAGGAGAGGTCAGGCTGCCTCATGATGACCCAATAGTCATCGAGTGCAAAAACGCCAATCAAAGAGTTGGCCGGATCTTGATTGATACCGGGAGCTCATCCGACCTCATCAGCTACCAGTGCTTGGAAAAACTCAAGTATAAGCCCAGTAGCATGCTTCCGGCCTCATATCCTCTTGTAGGTTTTGGGGGAGGAGTAGTACATCCGGTGGGCATGATTGATCTACCCATCTGGTTTGGAGAAAAGGGAAAGGGCTGGCACATGGTTATCAAGTTTCTTGTTGTAGGAGAGCTGACTGCCTACAACTTGATTATTGGCCGCCCAACCCTTAACATCTCTAAAGCAGTCATCATTCCATCTTTAATGTTGATCAAATTTGAAAGGGATGATGGCACAGTCGGTTCCTTGAGTGGGGACCAGAAGATGGCGAGAGAGTGTTACCTCTCGGACATCAAACCAACGCTTGACACAGACGGTCAAGAGAAAGAAATAGTTGAGCTTGACGATTGTGATCAAAGCTTACCGGCTACTAAGCCAGCCGGTAAAAAGAGGAAGGCGGACCAACTGGCGCCTGTAAAGGAGAAACAATAGCAATCACTGTCTAGGGAGAGGCCAGACGGCCTTCGCCCCCAGCCGGCTAGAGAAATAATTGACATTGTCCTTGAAGACAGCCGGCCCGACAGAACAGTCAAGATTGGAACGGTTGCGTTTGAAAGTTTGGGATCAGATTTACTCCTTTTGCTGAAGGAGTTCAAAGATGTGTTTGCCTTTGAAGTAGAAGAGATGTCGCGTGTAAGTCCGGATCTTGCTGTCCATAAACTCGCTGTGGATCCTAAAAACAAGCCCGTCAGGCAAAAGAAAAGGAACCATGGCGAGGAAAGGTCCCAGGCGGCAGCAACCGAGGTCAAGAAACTCTTAGATGCTGGGTTCATCCGGCAATGTTACTACCCGGATTGGGTAGCCAATGTCGTCCTTGTGAAAAAGCCGAATGGAACCTGGCGGATGTGTGTAGATTACACGGACCTGAACAGGGCTTGTCCAAAAGATAGCTACTCGCTTCCAAAGATAGATCATTTGGTAGACTCTACAGCCGGCCATGCCCTGATGAGTTTCATGGATGCCTACTCCGGCTTCCATCAGATACCCTTGTGGAAGAAAGACCAAGAGAAGACGACTTTCATCACAGATCAAGGGTTATACTGCTACACGGTGATGCCGTTTGGGTTGAAGAATGCGCCTGCTAC